GCTGCGTTGCTTTTCTTCAGTCCCTCATTACATATACATGACGATGCAACAGCAGATTCAACAAGCTCACATGTTCATGACATCGACATCGATAGAAGAAACCAAACAAATCATGCAAGCAGCTTTGTTTTGCCTCTGGGACACCTTTTGGGCACCTCTTATGGCATCCACACTGGTTCAACTCCTCCGTGGAGGTTTTGGGATACGGTGCAACAGATTCAACAAGCTCACAGGTTCGTGAACACATCGGATGCATCGAACAGTGTGGCAAAGTCCAGCCACGCTTCCTTAATTATCGGGGCCTTCAATTCTAAGGTTGGCTGTGTCATTGCTGTTTGTGTGTCTTACATGTTCACAACGTTTTACCTCATGAGCATTTGCCTCACTCCGCTTGATGTCCCACCAGTCCGGATGCACCCCTGCTAGCTTTCGTCACCTACCCTCGGCCTCAAGTTTCCAACTGTGCCGACTCTAGGACTTGGTAAGATTCATTGGATCAACGTTCATGTATATAAATCAAAACAGCTTCAAGCCTCGCTTTTCGCTGCAGTTGAACTAGTGAACTGAGTCTGAGGCACTGAGGCTGGAGCCTTACAATTTGGCCTTTTGCAGCTGAGCCGCCATCGCAGGGCGGAGCAGCGGAAGGAGAAGAACAGAAAACTGCGATTTGCAGAGTGGCTCAGTTTTCATAACATGGCGGCGACAAACGTACAAGTGGATCAGAGATGATCAGAGTGGCTTGTTGCCTTGCCGGCCATGTTGTGCAAGAATCAGTAGAGTCGGGCATTTGCTAGGCTGCTAGATCAGCCCAGTGGACAATCGTTTTTTGTCAACTGATTCATGAAACATTGGTTTGGTATTGTACAGTTCAGCCGTTTCTGTCCTGCAGGAGCAAGAAGCATTGATGGACCAGGGTGGTGTGGAGGCATTCTACAAAGGCTCGCTGCGTACAAACTTGTTTGTTTTTGTCCACCAACACTTTACAAAAATCCAGTGCGTATGTACACTTGTGACTAGATCTCAAGCCCGAGAAGTCTTACTTACTTTGCACTTAGGGGAAGAAGCTGAGCCTTGGCTACTGCCCCTGGCTACTTGTTCGTGCAACTTCACAAAGTTAAGTTTCCATTAACTCAGGAACCAAATCAATCATGCGAAGGCTTCTTCTGCATCCAGTCCCGGGTGGCCACTTGAGCTACTAGCTTCTTCTTGTCCTACTTCCCCTTCCTCCTACCCTTCCCCATCTTCCCCATCCTCCTCCCAACAACAAGAACGTTCTTTTCTTCGCATTTCTTTTGCATCCAGGTCTGGAATCAAGTTCCTCCCGCCCTCGGAGCGCTGCCCAGTTACTACGGCTGGCACTTGTGAAATGCAGTTGCTCGGAGCGAGAATGGATTTATATAACTCGTTTCAACAAGGCATACACATTCGTGGCCATTATAGTTGGAGAGTGTGCGAGAGAGAGAGAGAGAGAGATCAAGTGGCAAAATGTTGCCGTATTTGGGTACCAGGGTTTGCTTTCATACTATTTGCATTGATTTGGTGTGTTGCTTACCTTTCTCATCCGTGACGTTTTGTTTTCATTACCCAGTTGCAGATAACACTGCACATGACCGAGCCAGACTACCAAGCAAGCAAGAATGTTTCCGTCTTGAAGGAAGCCTTCACAAGGCCGAACTCGTTCTTAGGTTTGGGGAAAGACCAAGGAAAGCAAGTTCGATTCTAGTGTATGTCTATGGTCCATGGTCTTTGGAACGACGGAATGTGGGTGTGCCATGGTCATGTGGCTGCGTGGCTTTTGCTCTTCCCGCCGCACATGTGACCAGTGAATGTACAGGAATCGCATGAATGTGCTTTCACTGAGTGGTGGAACTTGGCAGTATTACCAGATGCTTCTGCTTCTTTAACAATTCCAGAAGAAACTCAGATGATCCAAGGCCGGGCTCGCTTGGCAGCTACCTTGAGCCGCTGGAGTCACTTTGCTGCGGAGGGCTTGGGAGCTGATGTGCAGCAGCTGCAGGGGCAAACAAAGCTCCCTGCCAGAAGGGAATCACATCAAGGAAGTCAAGGAGTATTCTATTCCATCAAGTAATTATGATACAGATTGGGACGACGACATGTGGTAGCATGTTTCGCTTGGGTGGCTGCATTCTGGCGTACCTCGTGAAAAGCACCTAGAACGGCTCATGATACTATTCACTGGCACCCACTTTCGGCTGGAGGTGGGGCATGTAATATGTGTAAATATGTATATGCTACTTCAGTTACTTTGCTCCTTGTTGTTCGGCCAGGAGCCCCTGTCATTTCCAAAGTGTTTGTCATTGGGCATGCATCTCGAGACTGTGACCTTCGGTCCCCAATACTACAACCACATCTCAGCAGCGAGAAGAACAGTACTGGAAAGGCCTTGGCTATCCTTGGTGGCTATCCCTGGCTGCTTTCAAGGCGTTTGCAAATAGGGAATACAGGGTAGGAAGGACATCGCAGAGAATCGTTGAACATGTATACAGCTCAGGAGTGTCAATGCAGAGCTTGCTGAATATCGCTGCAATGTCGAGGCGCTGTTTCGTTGACTACAACAAGTTGTGCAAAAGTTTTCGCTTTTGGTGAGGTTTGGTTTTTGGTTTGGCAAGTGTTTGGTGACACTGATGTGATCTCGGGTGTCTTTGATGGATGATTTTCAGACTTTTTCATCTTGTCAGGTTGAGGGCCGAATGAAGTGCTTTGTGCCCAGAGCTCAGTTTGCCCATGGAAGGTTTTATCTTTGGATGATCGAACCTGGGGATAGGGAGGCCACCTCTTTGCTAACCAAAATCCGTTCTAAAGAAGAAGCAAAATGCGTTCTTAAAAGCCTTCAGTTTGCCAGAGGAGTTCAACACTTGTTGAGAATTCGATGTTGCCGAGGCTTAGTTTGGGCACTGCAGTGCAGCGGCAGCAGATGATAGCCCTTCGAAACCTGCAATCAAAAGGTGGCTTTCTAATGCTTTCCGGTGGTATTTAGCTAATAGTATCTCGTAGTGCTATACAAGACAAGCTACTATATTCGAACTGTGGTGATCACAAATCCTGAATGACGGAGATCTTAAGAATCTATATATATATAACTTTACTTCGAGTGATCCTCACCATGACATGTCCATCATTTGTTTTCATGCCATGGTGAGGAGATGTTGCCATGGCCGTGGGTCCTTCCTTGGGTTTGGGATTGTTATTCTAGTGTTCAGGAGTTCGCGCCTGCCACACAAAATGCCACACGCAGGTAATTATATTGTGGTGGTTGTGTGCTGTGGCTGTGTGCTGTGGCTGTGTGCTGTGGCTGTGTGCTTGTGGCTGTGTTTGTGTGTTTGTGGCTGTGTGTTTGTGGCTGTGTGCTGTGGCTGTGTGCTTGTGACTGTAGTTGTGTTTGTGGCTGTGTGCTTGTGGCTGTCTTTGTAGCTGACTGTGTGCTTGTGGCTGTTTGTTTGTGGCTGTGTGTGTGTGTTTGTGATTATGTGTTTGTGGTTATGTGTTTGTGGTTGTGTGTTTGTGGCTGTGTTTGTGGTTGTGTGTTTGTGGCTGCGTTTGT